AGGCAGGGATGTGTCCTCTAAAAGGCTGAGGGGGGTCTGCAGCCTGTCCCAGGCAGCACAGGGCACCAGGCAGGGATGTGTCCTCTCAAAGACTGAGGGGGGTCTGCAGCCTCTCCCAGGCAGCACAGGGCACCAGGCAGGGATGTGTCCTCTAAAAGGCTGAGGGGGGTCTGCAGCCTGTCCCAAGCAGCACAGGGCACCAGGCAGGGATGTGCAGGAATTCGTAAAATAATAATATTAATACATTTCAGTTTCAAAATTAAAAGTAGGTAAAGTTGAGAAATGGTAACCTAATACAAGAAATAATCCTTTAAGGATGTTGTGAGGAAATGTATATTTTGGACAAACCTGTTATAAAAGTTTAGTTTTATGTCTGTTCTTTCAGCCTTTCGTCCTTTTATGTGATTATTTTGTTTTCATTAGAAATGTTAAACTGATGTTATCATAAGCCACCATAAATATCACAAGAAGGGCTGACTCAGCATAAAATTGTTTTTGGTAAAACTCTACTTGAAGGGGCACAAATACAGTATTATGATATTACTTATGCATTAATTAACCACAAACTATGTCATAGTTACATACTTATATTCATTCATCATTAATGAATTGTGATCTTTTATCTCAAGCAATTACTACATTTGTTGCTGTATCTGTTAATTCCGCAAATCATGGAATGGACCAGCTGAAGTTAGAAGGTTCCACACCTCGGTGACCAAAGCAGATCCATTCCTGCCCTCTAGAGCATCCCACTGAGTTCAGAACTGTTATATATGCGCTTTTTTTAGAACTAAAGCTCACAAAAGATCTGTGGCTGACAGTAAGTGGTTAACAGACATGATGAGGTTTTTCCAGGTCAGTCGGCCTCATCAATCCCAAAGACCCCAGCTGAACCCACACACTAGCGCCTATTGTTCCCTCGACCCGTGGGCCAGTGGGCCGTACCAGGACCCAGCGAAGGATCTGCTAACACTCAGCAGGCGATATGAGGAGCAGATTACAAACCTTGATGTCTATTATGACTGCAGCAACATCTTACAGTCTCATGTTACCATATGGTAGCGCTTTCAAAATGGCGTTTATAGACATATCGTTCATTTCAGTATCTGATATGTGGCTCTGTCTCTTCCTTCAGCTTCGGTTCTCTAGGACAGAACATTAATAAGATGGGGTATGAGAATTCTCGGGGTCAGCAGAAACGTATCATAAACTGACAAAATGTCGATATAATCATCAGGTTAACCCAAAGGGAAAACTATTGAAGCCCCCTGACCCCAAACAAGGGCTCAAGTATGTGATCATGCATTAAGTGGTAGGAGGTTCGTAACACTGACCTGTCCTCATTTGAGGGTCCGTGATTTAAGGCTGCGAAGCCCTATATGTGGGCCGCACTGTCTAAGCACTAAAGGGGCATTAGCGTAAGCTAAGCACTCCGCTCACTATCAGGAAACAAAAACATGCAGTACTCTCCACATATCGACACGCTGTTAGCATTTTGATGAATGAAGTCTGTGCTCAAGTGCATGATCGATGGACGATTACAGCAAAAGTGCACAGACTGATCAGTCACCACAGGAATTACCCACGAAGCCTAAACCGTTTTAGCTATTTAAAATGTACCGGGATACAAACACACAGTTATCTGTATATGTGTCTCCAAAGGTGATCAGGCTCTGCTTTTTCTGTATGTGTAGCTTTTGTCATACATTTCATATTACATATCAATATAGAGCATTAAACCATTCATGGTTTTTTTCAGTTGAGGAGAACTCGTCACCCTGCAGGTTAAAGGTCTCAAATTTGAGTTTCTACAGTACCTCCAATATTGCGATAAAATTTACAGCTGCAAGATAAAATGCAGTTTGGGGAAGCATGATGCTCGGATTTATAAGGAAATGCTTTAATAGTGCTCAAATCACCAAGTGTCCTCCCCCTGAATACTTTCAACTCTGTCCTCCACCATTTCACAGATAGAAACAGAGGCAAGAGGGAATATTAGAATTTACAAGTTATGGAGGGTGATGTGGAGAGCAGTCTGGGTAAAGAGTGAGAGTGATGGAGGGTGATGCAGAGTGCAGTCTGAGTAAAGAGACTGATGGAGGGTGACATGGAGTGCAGTCTGGGTAAAGAGAGTGATGGATGGTGACATGATGTATAGTCTGGGTAATGAGAAAGTGATGTAGGGTGACACAGAGTGCAGTCTGGGTAAAGAGAGAGTGATGGAGGGTGACACAGAGTGCAGTCTGGGTAAAGAGAGAGTGATGGAGGGTGACACAGAGTGCAGTCTGGGTAATCATGACAGAAGGCCAGGGAGGCGGCCTCCTCAGACCCCTGGGCAGACCGACTTCTGGGGGGTTGCTAGGATACCAGACCTCCTATATTAGATCTAATTTATAAAATGCAGGCGCTCCTGTGCCGAGCCTGCCGGCAGGCGGGGGG